ATCCATGCAATGAAAGTATTAACCAAAGATCCTAAAGCGCCGCTTAGCGGCCAAGATGGAGGACTCCACCTAAAAGGTGTAATCACCATGGGCGCCATTCAAGCAAGCAAAGTGCAGGGAACGCCATTGCAGAGGCTCACCAGGTGTGCGTGCCTGGTGTGGTGCCTATGCATTAACATGCACTGTGCAGGCTTATTGCTTGCTCGAATGGCGTTGAGGCGATTACAACGTTTTACGCACATTCACGGTGAAGTTCTTCTCCATCTTGCACCGCTACATGGCACTATACAGTCTTTGATATTAACTTTGATCACAATGCCTGACCCCCCCACAGTTTTTTTCTACCGTATGACACCCAGTGTAAGCCTTGCTTATCCTGCATTTTTCTCCAAATTATTTTGAATCTAAGGTTCGTGGTAACCATATGTGCACATTGCATTGTATCCATAGTGTGTAGACTATGCAAATGACAGCATATATTCATTGCAGTTGTCCTTGGCTAACGTATATCGTAGTGCCCTATGTAGCCTTAAAAAATCCCCTGTCATTTGCAAAAGAGTCACGGTCAATTGCAGATATCTTTTTAGAAATTCTTAATCTCAGTATGGAAACGATTGCTTCTACATCCAGGGACAATGTCTAAGGACTGAAGTGGTTTGAGTTGTCTAGGTATTCCTCATCAGTAGAATCAGTCATCAAAATGTGTGGCAAACATTTTGCCTTACTGCAGTTGAAGGAAGCGATAGAGAAATGCATCAAGTTGAAACGCTTCAAAGAGGCCTGGATGTTGTGCCAGTTAGCCAACAACAAGGACTTGTGGAGAGAACTGGCCAAGGCAGCTGTAATGCACTTGGAATTAGAGTTTGGTAAGTCCACCTTGTCAAGCTGTGTCCTAATATGTCGTGGCTTTCAGTTTCTTTTCCCCGGCCATTTTGGCTTTCGTCCTGCCGTTGGAAATGTAAAAGTAACCAAGTGGATGGATTCAAGGGCAAAATCTGGCATTAAAAGTGAACATCTCTGTGATGCAAAGTGTGATCTTTGGAAGTAAATGGCATCTTTGGTACCTGCTGCTACATTTGACTTGAGCTGGCCATCCTGTCCTGGCAAGCTTGGTAGTCAAGTGTTAAGACATCTGCATTACTATGCAGGAGGTCGTGGGTTCGAGTCCCACCCATGTAAACTTTTAAAGTGTTTTGAAAGGTCTTGGACCAACACTGAGAATACAGAGTTTATGAATATACATTGATGCAAGGGCATAGGCCGTCATTGGAACTTTTTGGTAACACCATATTCTAAGTTGCCGCTAAAACTTTGAAACAGGATTTTTGCCTGAAACAAAATATGAGAAATCAACAGAGTTTTGTACAGTCTTGCAGTTGAGACCTCTTCAGACCATCACAAGACCAACACGAGACCTCCAGTCTAAAGTCAAGTCACAAGCTATTCAAATGAACTGCAACAACAGCATTCCTTTGTCATTGTTCACCCTGTTACTTGTGACAGGATGAATGGTTTTGGTGTCTGGTCTTAGTCTGTGTCAGGTCTTGCAATGGTCTCGACTACAACACTTGCTTTGTATGGCTGATTTCAAAGTTGATTCTAATCTTAACAGCTGTTCGGGTCTACCGTAACATTGGAGAGGCAGGTATGGTGTTGTCGCTGCAGAAAATCATGGTGAGCATGAAAATGGAATCCTTCAAGAGCTTAGTTTTCTTTTAAAGTAAATCATTTCAGTGGCAATCAATGTAAAGTTAGTTTGTTTTTACAGAATTAGTTTATTTCAGTCGCAGCGTCTTTCATCCCCCATTTAAATAGGTGAATTACGGGCTGCTGAGCTCCTGATTTGTATTAGATGAAACTATTCCTACATTAGTTGGTTCTGATCACTGGTAGCTGTGATATTGTTTTCAGCTGGAAAGACTTTTTTTATTTGTTGTATTTTAATTTGGATTTTTTTTTGCTGATAATGTGGGTTTCTCAATCTGGCAGCAAAGCAGTGTAAAACTTCCCTACATTACCAATGCTTATGTGAGGGTATTGCTCATTTGTGTGTCTACTCGTTACAGGGCATCGATGACCGCAATCTCCTGTCGGGCCACCTGGCCATGTTCCAGGGAGACTTCAACTTGGCTCAGGATCTGTTCCTGGCGTCCAGCCGTCCCATCACTGCTCTGGAGGTTTGTTCAAATCGCACTCTTGTGAGGGACGGGGGAGTTCCTGGTTATCAGTTGATAGCCAACCGTAATGTGGTGTTGTAAATTGTGGCCTGCAAAAACAACTTTGATTTGCCAAAAGGAGTTAATCAAATATGTGTTTCCTTATAATTTACCAACAGAGTTTGTATTTCTTACCAACTTCGAATATTCAAGTTGTGATATTCAGTTAATAATCAAAAAACAAACTTGGGTTTGTTTTGTACATATTTCTTTGCACGTTTTCTCTTGAGATCTCTGTAAGGCTAGGTTATTTTGATTGAATTCCAGATGAGGCGAGATCTTCTCCATTGGGATCAGGCTCTCAAGCTGGCCAAGACGTTGTCACCAGCCCAGATACCATACATCTCTAAGGAATATGCTCAGCAGCTGGAGTTCACGTGAGTAGACCGGTTTGTTGAACTTGGATCACAAATTTATGATGGCGGTTTCACACTGCAGCCTCCCAATTCAGGTTGAACTTTACCCTGGGTGAACCCATGACGGCCTTGCCTTGTAAATTTGATTTTTCAACGCCATGTTTGGCATTGATTCACACTTGTTTTGTGCAAAGTGAGCTTATTGGGGTAAGTTGAATAAGCATGAAAGATTTTTTACCTGGATTGCAAAAATCTCAACTCTGGTCCAGAGCAGGGTTGAAGTCAATCTCGTTCTTGATACAGGTAGTGCTGCAGTGGAACTGCTGAACCGAACCAAAAATCTTCGAAAATGCCACTTTCGAACAGAACCGAACCAAACTGGTCGGTTCGAATGTTCGGCTTTAATATGGTATGGCATTGACAGTGCACGGAATGCATGCAAGAAAACATGATAAAAAAGCAAACACAAGGAAAATGGATAACAAGTTCTGTCGCACCGCTGCTTGGCACATTTGTGTGTACACATGAATTATAAATGTACTGAACAGGTCAATGTACATACATGTACAGTTAACTTACAATGACCCCGCATCACGCGATGGTTGTAAAAACCCGGTGGTGAGAATTTGCTAATAATTAACCGAGAGCATGCAACATACGGCATTTCTGCTGCACAATAATTCGAAATTCTCACTACATCTAATTGTGCTTATGCACATTCAGATTTAATATTATGTTTGCCAATCTCCGATAGCCATGTCCTCAAGTTCCATGTTAGGCTAATGATGTCATAAATGGCTGAACAAAAAGGAATTTTGATTGGATGCTGATCACAGTTGTACTCGTGCTCGTTTGAAGGCAATGCCGGAGGGAAAAACTGATTTTGCCAGGTGGGCCTGTGCAGGATTTGGTTCGTGCAGTGATCCAACTTGTCTTTCGTTGATCATGTTTGATCGAGGTAGTTGAGTGAATACGTTGTAAAGGAGTTTTGCCATATATCTAAGTTGTTTGCAAATCTCAAATAACAAAGTTCCGTTATCCATTCAAAAAAGACTGATGGAAAATCACCCCTTTGGCCATGTGGTCACCGTCCTGGGGAGAATGCTGACTTGATACCAAGGTTCTTCTAATACATCAAAAGCCATGGTTTGGCAGTTGGATCTGTTTCGCGAAAAATAACCAAAACACAGTTGGCTCGAAATCTAATTTGATCTTGTATCCTGTAAAGGAGGAAACTCCCATTTGAGCATGCTGTTTTTCTTTCAGTTTCACATATCTTACGAAACGATCGTAGCACGATTGTTTTGTTGAGTCAAGCGTGGTCCAAGCACACCGCTTTTGGTCGGCAAAACACGGTCGGAAACTGTCACACCTCCAACAGCATTTTTGGGGGAAACAGTTTAGAAAAAAAGTTATGTTCACTTCGAAGTCTCTACGATGAGGAGGAGAGGAGATTTATTGCTTGTATAAATGTTGTTTACACACAGAAGTACTATACGGCACGGTCGTAGTGTGCTCTTTGATGTCTCAATATGCAGTGTATGTGTACATGTATATGTACATATATGTGTTTGCGTGTCTGAACCTGAACCGAACTGGCAAATATTTCTGAACTGTGTCCAAACTGAACCTTGGCACCTACTTGCAGGACTAGATGCAGGGTTGACGCGAGGTTGAACATTTTCAAATATGAACATTCACCAGTTTTTAAGCCTGCCTCAACCCTGTGTCAGCCCTGCGTCAACCCCTAAATTTGTCTTGTGTTGAAAGGCCTTCTTTTATTGTAAATCTGATCTCAAAGTTCTTTATAAATTTGGTTGTGTTCTATGTTTCAGTGGGGATTATGGAAATGCCCTTGCGCACTATGAAAAGGGTGTCACCAGGGACAAGGAGGTAAGATTGAAGATATATTTTCTGGCCAACCAGTTTGTAATGATTAGTCGTGTAAGTTTAAAACAGACACTGTTCACGGTTTGGCTATACCTTGTGTCAGCATGAGTAAATGGAAGAATGAAAGCCAATTTTTTTTTTACTAACACCTGCAGGTATCTCTGAATAAAGAATAGCAAGAAAAAAATTCATACTCTTAAAACCGCAATATTTATAGAAACGTTTTTCTTCATCTGCACTTCCTCCAAATTTTCCGTTCCTCAACAATTCTTGATGACACTTTATGTGATAAGTGGAAATGAAACTCTCATGTTTTTCCTTTGATTTCAAATTCCTCATCATCCAGCAACGAGAGCATGATGAGGCGTGTGCAGCGGGCGTGGCTCGCATGTCCCTGCGAGTGGGTGACATAAGGCGGGGCGTTAGCATGGCAACCAAGATGCCCAGCCGCACGCTGAAGCGTGACTGCGCTGCCATCCTGGAGAACATGAAGCAGTACTCAGAGTCGGCGCTGCTGTATGAGAAGGGACAGTACTACGACAAGGCTGCCTCGGTTTACATACGCAGCAAAAACTGGTAGGTCATAAGCAGACATAGTCATTACATGTTTTCAAAAAGAAACTACCTTCTAGGTTTGACTAACATTGCCGAATTGCTGCTTAGCGAGATGACTCTCAAACAAAAGCCAGTGGGGTACCAGTCACAGACAGCACACAAGGAGTATTGTTTTGGCTGGTAACTTTTTCCAAGCAGAACTTTCAAGTGCTTAGCAAGTTTAGTATTTGGCAGCCAGGTGGATATTGTCCCTGACCTTTTTAACAGCACGTTTGATTTCCTCTGTTGCACTTACCCATGATGTCATTAGGTGAGCATGTGGGATGAGTGGTAATAAGCGAGAGATCTCTAGCTGCTCAAGGTGCTCAACTGGGTCATAAGGTCATGTTGAAGTGTAATTGGTAATATGAATTCAAACTGTCAGAACTAACGGACATCCACATACATGCATCTTACCTTTATTTCACATACTTTACTTGTCTTCAGGCATTTTGCCCCTACCTGCAACAGTTTTCTTAACTATTTGTAATGGCAAGAACTTTCCAGTGTTTGTATTGCATTGTGAGATACCTTGCCAGGTAACATGGCTTGGCAGGTTGGTTACTTGAGCCAGGCCCAAAGTAATTGTGAAAACTCACGGAGTGTCAAATCGGATACAGTCGTGCTTAAAACAAGTGCTGGGGAAGTAATCAAATGTGCTCCTGTGCAGCTTTTCACTCCATGTATCATACAAGGCTCAGTTTTGCTCAAAAACTGGATTTTCTTTTGTTCCCTGCACCTGTCTGTCTAGCCTGATCCTTTCTCAGACTAATAGAGTACCAAAGTGTGACGTCACTGTGAACCTGAAAGTGCAGTGCAAACGAATGGAGTACGCACCCGTGTTGGTTCACGCGCTGGTTCTTGCGCTAATGCCTTTTACACACTAATTGTGTGCGTGACGTATTCACTTCGGTACTCTATAGAGGGGGCTATAATCAACACACTTGCTGCCTTGCCTATCTCCCCATGTGTAGTGTACACGTATCTGTTCAAAACCAGTCTTGTTGCAAATCTCCAAATGACTTTTGATACTCCAAGGGCATTCAAGCATAGCTGTCTAAGTTGTAAAAGCTAATGAACATTGTCGTGTAGCAGAGTAAGAAAGCAGTTATGCTTGGAATGCCCTTTGTAACAAGATTTTGAACAGATATCTTGGCTACACACTACACATCTTGAGATCGGCAGGCCAGCAAGCGCACTGATCATATCCTCCTTGGTTTATCTTTTCCAAGTAACTAAAATATTAACGTGCTAGACTGACAGTAAAGGCAACGAATGAAAAACCCAGTCTTGGAGCAAGACTATGCAAGGCTTAGGAAGTGAGAAGAAAATCTATTTTTAATATGCCTGTCTGCAATACACATCATTTTGTTCCACAGGGCCAAAGTTGGCGAGCTGTTGCCCAATGTTACATCTCCCAAAATCCACATCCAATATGCCAAAGCTAAAGAGGCAGATGGTAGACATAAGGACGCTGCCTTAGCCTACGAGAACGCGAAAGACTGGGACAATGTTATCAGGTATGGAAGAGAAAGAAAAAAAAACGAAAGCATTGTCCTTTGTTCTACCTTTGAAAGACGACATTTCATGCTTCCAGGTGTTGGTCACAGTTAACCATCTCTGTTTTTTTTTAATTTCAGAATCCAGTTGGACTTCCTGCATAATCCAGAGGAAGCAGTACGTATCGTGCGAGAGACAGGATCGGTAGAAGGAGCCAAAATGGTAGCCAGGTAGGAGAATTTCCTCATACTTTTCTTGTTAGGCAGAGCCTCAAAGTTTGGCCCAGTTTCTACAGTTGTTCACGGTTGCTCAAAAGAGGTCTTTATCCAACTAGCAGAGCGTTAAAAATTTAAGTTGAATTGAAGTTGAGAGGCTTATTTTTAATCATTTCTGGTAATGACACAAAGGAGTCCTCAAGAGAGCCCCAGGCATTGTAGCTCGTAAGCCTAAAGAAACCTATAGAGAGGAGACAATAAGAAGCATTCACACTTTTAGAGGTGGGAGGAAAACCCCAGAGGAATATTCTGGGTAAAACCCCACAGAATCAGGTAGGGATTGAAAACCCAATCCACGTGTGGACCGAGCTGGGAATCGAACCTGGTCCGTGGAGGTGAAAAATGAGGAAAAAAAGCATGACGCACACCTGGCTCCCCACTTATGCATCATCCATTCATCTGTTTTTCTCTCGCTAGGTTTTTCCAAAAGCTGAACGACTTTGGTTCGGCCATCCAGTTCCTTGTCATGTCTAAGTGCAATGATGAAGCTTTCCAACTGGCTCAACAGCACAACCAGATGGAGATATACGCCGACATCATTGGTACGTTGCCCATCCACTTGCATCAGCTTGTTTGCTTTCAACAATTGAAATTCATCAACCATTCTATTAATGTTGTGTCTCATTGACTAACTTGATTTGACGTGAGTTTTTGTTTGTCATCTTTGATTGTGAAGAACAAGTCATTAAGGAGCCATATGTGATACAGTGGATCGTGTATTTGAAATGTATGACTGAGGTGACCAAACTGTTTAAAGCCTTTTTGTCTACATGATGTCATTTGCCTTCAACCTGTTGTTGAAATTCTTTACTGACAACAGCACGTCTTTTCCTCGAAAAGATGAATGACTCTTATCAAAGCTCTGTTTTTATTTAGAGAAGAAATAGTAATTTTTGTGAAGCCAGATTCAGTTTCAGGCATTTATTTTCCGAATTGGCTCTGCCCTCAAAGATTTCCAAGGCATCAGTTTGCTGCATGACTCTAACAGAAAATCACCTCACCCCTCATTTCATAACTCTTTTATTTCTCTGCATTGATACACAGTTCTTTTGTTTATTTATTTGTTTATTCCTTTCACTAACCACCACAACCACCACCATCATCGTCATCTTCACACATAACTTAACGATGGTCTACTCATACCACAGAGAGTAACGAAGGTGAGTCAGTGTACTTGCCTGTAGCTCCTTCAAAGAAAAAACAGTTCCATCTTCAAGGAAGACTTGAGATGGGAGGAACACAACCTTAGTGTCCCTGGCATGAATAAAGCATTTTAGAGCAGCCAGTGTATTGGTGGCCACACAGTCTCTGCTTTAATATCAAAATGTTGTTCAAATGCACCCTGACCTCACCTTGCATATGAGGGCTTACCCAATCAGATGTGAGAACATAGCTCTGACAATGAGCCAGTTGGGTATTTCAAAAAAGTAAGGTCATTCTGGAACAAAGCACATGTGCAAGTCTGTATGGCCACGCTGATAGGACAGACTTCACATGCGTGTCCAAATGACCTCAGACATGCTTCATATTGCGTATGCGCTGTTGGAATACCAATTGGCTCATTTGCATAGCATCTCCTGTATCATTTGATCATAAGTTGTGAAGGTGTGCTCAACTGTCGGAGGGGGGGACTCATCAGAATTTTTTACGAAATGGGGGTTTTTTGTCCGAATTGTTTCCTTGTTTCATGATTAGTCAGACAATCTTTTTTCAAGTGTGGAAAATCTTTAGTTAGCATTAAACGGTTTTTGAAGTATAAAAGTTGATACAGGTCACAAGAAATGGGTATTTAAAGGGGTACCTATAGGCAAGCACAAATGTGTGCCATAGACCCTGTGCTGCTGTACTGGTTATTTTGTGAATATTACGTTTTCCTCTCACCCTTGATATCAGCTTGATGTAATCAGCTTGATATTAACTACAAGATCTTATTTGTGGTTTTTTTTGCCGCACAGGTGAAGATGCCACTCAGGAGGACTACCAGAGCATAGCTCTGTACTTTGAGAATGAGAAAAACCACCTGATGGCTGGCAAGTTCTTCCTACTGTGTCAGCAGTATGGCCGAGCCCTGAAGCACTTTCTACGCTGCCCTACCACCAATGACGACAACCAGGCCGTGGAGATGGCCATTGAAACTGTAAGGGTTGAAGGGGGTTTCCCTTGTTTGTTAGAGTTGCAAAGTTAGGTCATGTGAAAAATACAATAGTATCTCGTCCCCACCTGCATCCTTTTTGGGGCAGTCTGGAATATTTCTTTTGCTGTGAAAATCCTCATATCTTGCCCTCAGAAAGGGTGACAAATCTCACCATTCCATCTTGAGTAATGAAGAAGCCTCCTCTTCCTTTTTTTTTCAAATACCCAAATGAGATGCTAATTTTTTGGTAACTTGGGTTTAGTGTGAGGGTTAAAGTGAACTTGGCTAGAGCTGGATCTCATGTACATGCCTGTGCAAGTGGCCGCATCCACTTCCCCAGAGATATGCATGTGTTACCACAGTCCATAGCCAGTTGGTCGAGACCACAGGCCTGATCACAGGCTGTATCATCACAATCCCACCTCTTTGTCCGCTCGCAGGTTGGCCGCGCCAAAGACGACCAGCTGACCCACCAGCTGATTGACTACTTGATGGGCGAGACGGACGGCATGCCCAAGGATGCTAAATACCTTTTCCGTCTCTACATGGCCCTCAAGCAATATCGTGAAGCGGCCAGGACGGCTATCATCATTGCCAGAGAGGAGCAGATTGCTGGTATGTATTCACTCTATGAGAGAAACTGAACCACCAAAGATCCCTCCTATGTGTCCCGAGGGGGGGCCGAAATGGATGCAGTTGGTGGGAACCACAATTCGCTGGTTCACAAATGGCTCTTTTCAACTGATGAGGGGGTGCTTTTGCTCAAGGCAGATACCATAGTGTTGTGTAACATGTGTAGTGATTGTGTGATTTTCCCATTGTTGCACTCACTGAAATATCCTGGTCTGGTTTTGTGCTTGCTTTTGTAAAGGGATCCTATTAATTTTTATTTGGAGTCTAGAACCCAGATTCTTCTTTGCATGATAGATGTCAGGAAGTCTGTTACAGTTTCTTTGTATACACTCTGGGTGTTTGAACAGAGGTCTTCGTTTCTTACCTTATTTAATATCTTTTCCATTCCACCTTGCATCCTTTCAGGTAATTATCGCAATGCTCACGACGTTCTCTTCAGCATGTACCGGGAACTCAAGAGCCAGAAGATTAAAATCCCTACAGAGATGGCCACCAACCTCATGATCCTTCACAGCTACATACTGGTCAAGGTAGGTTCTAATTGGATCATTTATTTAATTTCTTATTTTTTGGGGTTTGGCAGGAATGTCTACTTTTACCTGTGTGCAGCCTTTCGAGATCTGTATTTTTTGTGATGTAATAGGCTTAAGCAGGAGGTTTCGGGTTTGAGTCCCACCAATGTAAGCTTGTCAATTTTTTTGCAAGCCCTTGGACAAGCTCTGAGTATACCGTGTTTATGACTATATGTCGGGTAAGGGCAAAACCCGTATGTAAAAATCACATCTCCCTGATGCAAGGTATATCTTGAAATAGTTTGCCGTACCCACTGCTACATCTTGCTCAAACCAGCCAGCTGACCGCGGCTAGCCGACCCTGGCAGACTCGGTGGTCAAGTGGTTAAGACATCTGCACCAGTAAGCAAGAGGTCGTGGGTTCAAGTCAAAACTCACAGTGCTTGGTTTGTCTCCTGTTAACCTGTTGCTTGCTATTTGCCGTCATTTAAACTATTTTTTCAATGTAATAATTCCAACATTTGCCAATATGGAATGAGAAAGTGTCTGAGTTGTCACAGTTTTTCCACCACCAATTTTTCTTAATGGGTAAAAAACTGAAATGTGACATGGTTATCGTGTAGGCAGTTGGTTTTAGAAGTTTCTTGGAAGGATTCGTTGTGTACTAGCAATTTGGGCATTGTATGAAGAAATAAGGAGATCCAGTAGTGAAGAGAGGTACTGTATTTAGTGAAGGTCCCTCAGAAACTTCCAGACCAAAAAGGGAAACCTACTCCTGTGTCTCTTAAATTTTTTGAATTTTGACAGAGTTTGGCAATATCTTTTGGAGCCATTTCATTTGCGATGTCAGGGCAGATAGTGGTATTTATCTGTTGACATGATCTATAGATCCACGTGAAGCGAGGTGATCACAAGAAGGGTGCCAGGATGTTGATCAGGGTAGCCAACAACATCAGCAAGTTCCCTGCTCGTGAGTAGCACAAGGCGCACCATTTATTACTTCTTGTTTGGCATATCTAAAACGATTTCCCTTAGTTGTGCGTTTGGGCCCTTTTTTGCACTCCACCGTTACACCATGGTCGAGTTCGGGTGGCCTATTCTTGACACGGGTTTCTTGTTCTCGTGCTTGAACGGCGGGAACACGACTCAAGAACACTGTTCT